GCGTTACTGATGGTAGATTACGAATCCTTTTCTACACTGATCATTGAGCCTTGAGTTTATCAGCGCACATTAATACTTTTAAAATAATATTCGCTGATTTATGATGGTTTAGGTCAGGGAAGAATCGATACCTACTTTCTGCGCAATTTAAGAAAGCATAAGTAAACAATAGATAACTTATATTGATTTATAATAATAAATGGACTTCAATTGTTATTTACGTAAGTTATACTTAAAAGATTTGTGCATAAATATATAAATGGTTAAAAAAAATTCCTTTTATATTAGGCATATCAATGCATTTCAGGAAAGTAGAGCCTTATTTCATATAGAGAATAATAAATAAATATATATAGAATAATAGCATTAGTGCTTAATAATTATAAATAACTTTATTACAGTTAGTACTATTCTTGCCTAGACAAGTTGACAAGAGCCGGTGCTCGAGCTTATCGTAAAACGTCGTAAGAGATTCAGTTCTTTGTTATATTTGTTTATATCGTGTGCTGAAATAAGTTTGTGTTATGTGGTCTTCTTTTGTCGGTATCGTTAGTATCTTTTCTCAACATTTATAAAAACGTCTACATCTATTTATGTAAAGAGCCTATTTTTTATTTATATATATATATCTATATATATATATATTTTTTTTTTTTAATGAAAACATAAGGTGCTCAAAGGAAAGATGTTATTAAATTTTTAAGCACTTTATTCGATGCATAAGGTGTAATTGATTAGTAGTAATTGTTTCTTTTAATAAGTTATATAAAAATGGCTGGTACTTATATACTTATGTTATATGAATTTCATTAAACTAGAAAGACTCGATGATATTAAAATCGATATGTAGAGGAATTTAAAAAAAAAAATTGAATATTTGTGTTAATCTTTTAATATTTTTTGCTAATTCATTAATATACAATACAGTGAAGGAAAGGAAGTGAAATATTCGAATTATAAATGTAACGACACATTTTATCAGCAGCCTTTTTATTTCAGACAGAATACATAATAAATTAATTAAATAAATGTCATTTATACCTTGATAAATACCTAGTATTTTTAATATCGAAATAATAAGAGGAAACAAATATTTAAGAGGAATAATTCTATTGCTTTTCGTTAGGCTATAGTAATAATTGCCACTCTGCAATAAATAATTTCTATAGTACTATTTATAATAATTATCAATTATCTACAAATAGAATGAAAATTTATATAAATATACTTCTTAAGACATTGTACACTTTTTCATTTTTCTTCACAAAAGGCTGTAATGAGTGTGTGTGTATATATATGAGTATAATAAAACTAAATGCAATGATTTATATTTACAATTTTTTTTTTTTTATTATAATTTCTATTGTCAGTTTTATATTTCTTCGGCTATGTTGACTTTTATAAATTTGCTCTTTTGAAATTATTATCGATCAGAATATAAAAGTTATTCAAAATTCTAGAGTTTTTTCATATAATAAATGTATTATATTTGTATATATTAAATATATATAAAATCCTTAAATAGAATAATAGAGATTATATTATAGTACAATGCATGCACAAAATACTAAAAGAAAAGCAGTTTTTAGTAAAACTTTTTTTCAAATATATTGTTTTATTTTATCTACATCGTGATCTTTGATCCATAATTCTATTTTCCATTTCGCTCTTACATATTTCGTTATCTTATAAGAAAAACCAAATAAAACTAATCGTCTTTAGAAATTTATGCAATATAATAAAATAATAAAGCGTGCTTAATTAAATAAATTAACTTTTATTATTTAAGATAGTATTTATCAAGAGAACGTTTCTTTAAATATAGATTTGTTATGATTATTTGTTTAATGGATGTTGTATAATACGAAAATTGCATATTTTACTTTTTTTGAAACTAGACTAATGCATTATGAGGGCATAAAGTCTTAAATTATTATTGTAGAAGAAATTGAGGGATTATTATTTGAATTGATTTGTTAGCTTGAAATGAAAAAGTATCGATATTTCACGTAAGTTTCCAAACATTCACTTAAAAGACAATCCATTTAATGCATATAATAGTTTTTAGTCAATTTGTAAAATACATTCAGTCTATTTCTATATAATGAAACTAACTAGACGGCGATAGAATATTAATTTTCTGGAATTAATTTGTACGCTGAATTCCTTCCGTTATCAAATGCAAATAATACGACTTTAATATTATTTTATAACATTTTATCGTCACTAATATATCGGTAATACAAACTAAAATAAATAGAAAATTTTATTAATATTTAACTATATTAATATTAAATTATAAATAACTAGAATTACGCAGCATATTTGCAAATACTTATCGTATTAATTATTATTATTTCAATTAGTGAAAATATAGCTGAAAAATAAGAAATTTATATATGATATTTTTACGAAATTATTTTCTAATTTATAATTTTACAAACTTAAAGAATGACAAATTTTATCATACGAAACGAATTTATGAAGTAATATATTTAAATATTGAATTTCAATTTAATAATAAAACGAAATTCTACTATTTATGTAAGTGTTTCTTGTATTATTACGTATAAATTATTATACACTTTGAGAATATAAAAAGACTTTAAAACAAAATTTGGAAATTTTATAGTTGTACGAAAAAGCATTAACATAAAAGATAGTTTGCGATTAATGAATAAATAGATAAATCAATTTTCCTTACTCAGAAAAACATTTTTAATCACAAAAATAAGGAATTACTATTATATTGAAACGACTAATTCATTTGACTTTCATAATCGCCATTAGTCCTTTTTCTTTAATATTAATACTATTAAGAAATAAATAAATAAATAAATAAATAAATAAATATATATATATATATATATATATATATATATATATACATATATACGTGCATATATTATTATTTTTTTTTTTACTCGGACGTTCGTCTGTATACTGACTTTGAACTTGGTTATTTTTTTTTTATGGTTGTGAAACACAGTTACAGATAATATAAGGTTCTTCGTTTAAATTGTAGGTTGCAAGCGAAATGGACACGTATGCCGAACACTGAATAATGAAAATACGTAATAACTTGTCTTCAATGATAGAACGATACAGCATTGCAATGCTGATAGTTTTATCGATTTTTTCTTTTCTCTTTAACATGTCACAACGTCAGCTTTCGCGAACTTTATCTGATTTATTCGAGCGTTACGACTGGGGCTATGCGTATTAAAATGACTGCACTACACATTTGTACGAAACTGGCGAGGAATTCGGTTATCCGGTTCCCATGGATATATTTTTGATAAACACGCTTAAATAAAAGTTATTTCACGTTAATATTAATTTCCATTAGCATTTTGGAACATTATTTTATCTTTTTATGAATCGTATTGTCAATTCGATGCATAATACTTATTTATTTATTTTTGGATTGTTGATTGAATACAATTCTGCAAAGTGTAATATAATAGCACGTATAACTTTTTAATAGTTAAGACAGTTTGCTTTGTACGTGCTAAGAGTATCGTATAATTAACAATTATGTATCTTGTTTTTCTTATAAAGATAATGCAAGTGCTTGGAATTTTATATCTTTAAATATTAATGCACAATGCGCGTACAAAAATTATGAATCTGACACTTTTATCGATTAAGTGTCAGCGGTAATCTTTTGTGTCAGATCATTAGAGTGCGATAGAAAAATCGATGCTTCCGCTCTGTTCCCATTTTACTTATCAACTCACCATACACCACCGTATCATTTGTTAATAATCAAGTAAAAGAGCTAATGTAAATACAAAATTTGTATATGTCACGTACTTATTATTATTATTTTTCTCTCTTTCTTTTGTCATTAAAGTATACCGATTGAATTTTAGTAGGAATGAATATTTACGTACTACCAAATTTCAACCTTATAACGAGAACTATGGAATTAGTTTAAAGTACATAAAATGTATTAAGACTGTCATTGGCTTGTGAAAATTATCATATTTATTAGGTACATAATTATCGACTTATAAATGAAAAGAAAATTAAAAAATTTTCTCATAATTTACAACTATTAATAATAATAACTTCCCAGATTTTGTCATAGTGTTTGTGTAAAAACATAGTAGAGAATAATAAAATTGGTTTTATTGGAAGTTGAAACTGAGGTTTCTGATCGTCTTTGGAAGAATTATGCATATATTATCGTACGTAAAAATTATTAATTTTTTTTTATTAATTTTCTCCATACCTATTAGTTAGGCTCTGGATATATAAAAAAAATAATAATTATCCTATTATAACGATCGTTCATTATGGATTAACGTACTGTAGTCTTTCATAAGCGATAAATGATAATTATCAGTAAAATTACGGGAATGCAATTAGAGCTTGGAAATATACTATTGAATATACGGAAATATACGCATTGTCTAGTAATTCTAAAATAAAATAAAAGACAGGTTTTCTCAGGACAATTTCACAAATGATTATTAGATGCAATGGTCGTCATTACGAGTCCTCTCTATTAAAGATGAAAAAAAAGAACGTGTAAAGGAGGGAAAGTTTATCGCCATTCCTAACGGAACGAAATTACCCCCTACAAATAGTGAGATCGAATCTAAAAAGGTTCCGTCCATCCGTTAATAGGTCGGGTATCGACAAATCGATGGTATGATTGGTGTCGGACATGGGAAAGGGGTAGGGGGATAATATCGTTTCGACGAGCATATTCTCCCCCGAAAAATCGGCTTAAGACCTCGCGCAGGCGCGTCCATACCCCGGCATCGATGCTCCTCGTTCCGGTTACACGTCGCCATCAGTTTCGCGCTCGTCATGCTGAGACAGCTCCTCGCCTTCCTGACGCTCT